TTACCATCATTGCACGTGAAAATTTTATATGATGTTTAGTATAATAAATAATATGCACAGTCTTATACATTAAATAATTGAATTGCATTGTATTAAATACACAATAAAACAAAAAGTAAAAAAAAAAATTTGATATTAAAACTATATATATCTCAGAAACGTGTCTTAATCGAAATAATGTTTATTTATTAAAATTCGTTATTTGGATTTAGACTCTGTTACAGGTAATCGTTTTAGATATGTGGGTAGTTTCTTGCAAATATTTGAAACCATATTGAGTATCCTTTTTCCTTTTAAAATGATGTGGCATAACTTGTAAATTATTTTCCGTTTTGAATGATGTTGTGAAGCGGGGAACAAGTGCGGATTATTCTTTACAAATATAGCCACTTCGTACACACAAATTATTGTCAAAGTTAATAACTTTAGAGAACGAAAGTAGACTTCGTAGCTATCTAACTTTTTTATTTAGCATATGGCCCTTATAAATCCTTTCTCTGCTCTAAAAATGTTCAGTATTTCAGATCAATCCCTCCAAAATATAATTCCATATTTTAATCCATTAATTAATAAAGTAAACATGGATTATTCCATGTTCATTATATGAGTATTAACTATCTTCCAATATTCGTAGTTATTCGACGCAAATGTACATGGACACGATGCCTAATTAGATAGGTATACGAGTATGTATTGTATCGAAAATATACTCGAAAATAGAGATAGAAATTCTATATTTTGTGGCCGAATTATTTCTGTTTATTTTCGACGCTATTTCGTTAGAATTTCTGGATTTCGTGTCCTATTACGGTTTGGATATGAAATACTTATCCTTCAAGCATTATTTAATACTTTATATGTAACTACTCGTACTTTTCGATTTTTTTATATATATATATATATATATATATATATATATATATATATATATATATATATATATATATATATATATATATATATATATATATATATATATATATATATATATATATATATATATATATATATATATTATATATATATATATATATATATCTTTAACATCCTATTCCATATTGTAATTTGACAATAAACACGAAAAAGTCTGTGAAATGGCGCGAAATCGAAACAAGTTTTCAGAATAATTAAAACGTTGAAAAAAAAGAATAATTTTTATATAACAGTATTTATGGCCAGTCTTATTTATTATCAGATTTATTTATTTATTTATTACATATATATTTGACACACCTGTCTCCCATTAAAGTAGGCAGAAACAATGGAACGCCAAATATAAGCATTGAAATATTTGGCGTTCCATTCATCACACCTGTTATTTTGCTTAAAACTATCTCAAAAAATACAGTAACATTGATATCTCTTTTTTTTTAAATTGGTTAAAAATAAACTAGGCAAGGTGTAAACTAACACGTAGATACTCGAATAAATACAGTCAAAAAGCTGAGAGTGCATGCTACAGCATAATTCATTCTCTTATCATAACGTACATACGCTGTCGCTGTAAAAATTTTAACGCAAACCAGCTTTGTTCGTTGGCTTCATTTTTGTAGGCAATTTGTTTATCATAATATTTTTTTTTAATGGGACAGGCGGTTATGTGATTAACTAGCTGCGCCCGTGACTTCGTCGCCATGACCAGAATAAATAATAGCCTATGAGTTTCTCCATGCCAAATACTATGTGTATACCAAATTTTATGAAGATTCAATATTTAAATTGTATTTCTACTTGGGTGCCTCTGTCCCATTTGTGATTCTGCCGTGAAGCAGTTGTGTTTGCTTGGCTGCGTTTCAATTTGAAGGGTAGATATGGCAATGATATTACAGGGTACAGAGATATATCACCTTACTCAGGAATACTGGAATAGCAACGCATGAAGGGTATCATGGGTGACACAATATACTCTGTCGTTGTCCACGCCAAATATCAACATTATCATATCGACGTTAACTGTTCACTGTTGAACATAAGCGTCCCCCATAAAGAGGATTTTGTCAGTAGTTGCCTAGCTTAGCAGATGAGTTCCCAACCGCGTTTAGACTTTTGGTGATATTTTAAATGGGACGCTGCAGCTCAACCTTCGACCATTAAGTTCTGTTAGTCACCTCTTACGACATCCACGGAAAAGAACAGGGTGACCCATTCTATGCTGGGACCACTTGGAAACATATGCGTATGGCAAATTTCATGAAGATTATGATATTAAATTTTAATTAAACACTTCTGAATTCACTAATTACAAACTGATATAGAAATGTTATTACAATATTTCAATAAGCATTAATAAAAAACATGATTATCGCCTGTCTTCCAATGTTGAACATGGTTTTCTCAAATATCCCTTAAAATACAATCTTGCGTCACTTTCATCCAGCGATTCTGTATAAAAATTTTAATCATCATTTCATGTCGCAGAGCATCGCCCCGCAATTGTCTTGCTCTCACTGGGATTACCACTCGAGAACCTTTCTTTCTGAACGGTTGTCGGTCGCTCGAACTTTATAGCTGGCCCATTGCCACTTCAGCTTGCAGCTGCTTGCTTTTACTGATTCCTCCAAAAGATGACATGAGTAAACTTATCATAAATCATCATCACCATCACCACCATCATATCAGCCGTACACATAGCTCGAAGAACCTACAATCGACGGTGGAAAAGTTCTTGAGTGACGATAGGCAAACGCAGTGTAGGTCGACCCCCACTAAATAGAGTGACAACCAAAAATGCATTGCTGGGAGTCAGTGAGACTTATCATAAACACGAATAATTTCTATTTGCTTCCCAAAGAGAGATTCCTCTATGGAATAAGTCTGCCATTGTATATTAAATATTTTTATGTCTCCAATGTAAATTATGTACAATAAAAATTTTACAACAACAATTACAAGAAAAGATCACATTAAGAAAACAATGGACGACCTTTTCATTAAAAGCGATCTCTTCCAAACAACCTCCAAGCAGATTCTTCAGAGAATAACGGTGACTTTAGTTTTTCTGCTGTTATCCATAATCCAGGTTCTATCACGCTGTGCCACTCCGAGTGAGACCTAATTAAAAGCCCGCTGGCGACTTGGCGCATACTTATACGGCTAGCCGCGTTTAATTTAATTGTACAATTTGGGGCTATTGTACCAATAGTCTACAGGGATGTCCGACCCTGCCATGTTATTCTGATTATTAATTTTCATGATTTTAGTTTACAATTTAACTGCGGACTGAAGGGCTTTCGGTTGCTACGACAGAAAGTGGTTAAATGTTACAAATATTTGGCCCCGAGTTATTTGATCTAAAGGGATAAGTCGTGAATTTCGTGTGTATACCGTAATAGGATTATAGAATTGTAGTTGTTGATTTATATATTTAAGCATTGCTAGCTTTTAGCCACGTCTTCATCAGAGTGCCTGGGGTATTAAATAGACTAATTCTTTTTCCGTTACTTAGAATATGTGTATACTAAATTTCAAATTAATTGATTGAGCTATTAAAGTATTAAAGGTTAATAAACAAACAAATTCAATTTTAAATTTATAACAGTAAGGAAGTAAAGATTTCTTTTTTTTTTTTGTGGCGGTACCTGCAGCAGTAAAGTAGTCTCTCTAATTTTTTTAAATTATTAATTAGTAAATTATAGTAATAACAACTGATTTTGTGTTTCCCTTGAAGTATTGTGTATAAAGTTTTTCATTTATTATTTGCATCCTATTACATCCACAAATAAGGGAATTATCTGCATAAACCAGCCGGCCACTGTCATAGTAAAATAGCTAAAGTTGCGGAGTTTGTATCTACACAAAAGTCACTGAAGATGTCTGCATTTGAAAAGAAACTCAAAGTGATTACCCCTCATTCTACTGACGTGGTGGAACTGTCAAATGAATTCCGTGAATTCAAGGACTCTCTCAAGGTCATTTTGAATCTTATGCAACAACAAATCGCAGAGGTAACCCAGAAGATTGATGCTGTAGAAATGAGAAACAGAAAAAAGTTCCTTCTTCTTAGTGGAGTTCCGGAAAGTGAGTCTAATCTTCCTACCGTTATTGCTGAAACCCTCAACAGACATTTTGGCTTGCCTGAGCTTCAACCCGCTGATATAGTTAGTTGTCATCGTTTAGGAGCCGTGTCTGAGGGACGTTGTAGGCCAACTGTCTTCCGTCCTGTTAACTCATCTATTCGAATGTCCATTTGGTCAATGAAAACGAAACTTAAAGTAACTAAGTTTGTTATTAGCGAATTTTTACTTTTATTAGAGATAAGCTCGCTTTTGTACATTATGTTTAAAATTAATTGTTCTTAACATTACGTTTGTGTACAATAAAGAATAAAATTTATTGTTGAGGCACACATGTGCAGGTATATTTGTAAACTATTTTATGTTCCAAAATTATTTATACTATTTATTGTTGACTGTCTTAAAACTGCAATTTGGTGAGTGCTTTAGATGCAAACAGATTTTCTATCTGTCTAAATGTAAAGTGCCACACATAAGCTTAAAAGATTTAAGTGCTACTAAAAACTCTTAATTCTTTTGTATGTATTTGTATGATAATTAAACAAAAAAAAAATATGTGTGTTGTTTGAAATGCAACATTATCGCAAAAACACTAATATCTTGACAAGGCCAGAGGGAAACTTTGTACAAAAGTCGATTGCTTGGGTACCTCTGTCCCATTCGTGTTTCAACGTAAAGCAGTTGTGTTTGCATGGCTATGTTTCTGTTTGTAGGTTGGGATATAGCATGAATTTACTGAGTACGGAGGAATAACACCTGAGTCCTCAGGAATGGCAACGCATGGGGGGTATCATGGGCGAAACAGTATACTCTGTTATGTCCATGGTACTGCTCATGTCTATAGGCGACGGTTACCATTTTCCATCAGGTGGGCCGTCAGCTTGTATGCCATTCAAAAAAATATCAAACTTTTCCATCACACGAATTTCAACTCTACCGTATTTTAAAAAGAGCTATATTTAATTGTGTTCCTCCATTTTTTTCCAGGTGATCAGCAGTATTAACCTGTCAAGAGGGAAAAGCGTTTGCTGTAAGTATTTCCTTCCTTACCTTTTGCCGTTTATTATTATACTTTATCTCTAAGACCGAATCGCGAACTTTGCCACACAAAGAGCAAGCAAAATATCTGAGATATTAATTTTGGAAGTGTAATTTACGGCGGAATATATTAAGGTATGCCTCTTAAGAAAGAATTAAAATTGCACGGAGCCTCTGCCAAATATAAAGGCGGGGCGTTTTCTTTAAAATCTAATCTTATATTAAATAGCTCTCAACAGAACAATACGAGTACATAAGAAGAGAGAGCGTGGGAATTCCAAAAATCCTATAATTTGCAATAATATAAATTGTAGCTTATATGCATCGTAATTATAAAAGAATAATCTAATACAAAATCAACTATTTCGATTACTAAACAAATTTAAAAAGTGCACTGAAGAATAAAGTATTTTATTAGAAGAATATACCATAGTATACCATGTCAGCCATTACCTGTCCACTGCGGAACATAGGCCTACTCCATAAAGGGAGTTTTGACAGTACTTGCCACGCTTGATAAGCGTGTTGACAACCGCAGTTAGGCTTTTGGTGATGTTTTAAGAGGAACCCTGCTGCCCATGCCTCGACCATAATGTCCCTAAGTCATCTTTTACGACACCCATGGGAAAGGAAGGGGTGGCCTATTCTATGCCGGAACCTATACGGCGTATTATAACTATTATATAAATAAATAAAAATAAATTAATATTGATAGATCATATCATAATTATATCAGCCTTTAATTGTTCATTGCTGAACATAGTTCTCCCCGTTGGCGGGTTTTGCCAATAGTTGCCACGCTTGGCAGGCGGGTTGGTAGTTGGCAGTCAGGCTTTAGAGATGTTTTTTGAGGGACGCTGATAACCAACAGGCACGTAGATTTTATTAGATGACATTTTGCAAAAAAACATTGCGTCATCATCAACTCTTGTTTATTTTTATTATTATAAATAAATAAAATATTGCTACAGGTAGAGATGGGTAATATCTGATATCTATATATTGAGTTCTTTTAGACATTAATGACCACCTATTGCGATATCGCCCATACCAGTCAGTAATTTATATATACATATATATGTATATATATATATAGTAACTACAATATATAGATATTGCTATATATTACCCACCCTTTCTACAGAGATTTTTTATACCACTGAGATGGCAAACAACCATACGGCCCACCTGATGGTAAGCGGTTACCGTAGCCTATGAACGCCTGCAATACCAGAGGTATTACGCGTACGTTGTCGACCCTGAAGAAACCTCTTTACCCATTTTAAAGGACCCCATGCTGTAGTCCTTGGGAAAACCTCGGCAGGGAACTCATTCCGAATATAAGAAATAAATCTATTTTTCCGAAACTTATATTACAAATGGATTTAGAACACAAAATATATTAACAATAGTAAAGTACACTATTTTCAACTAGAAAATAAATAATCTATCAAAAATTTTGACGGGTAAAAATAGCAACACATTATTACCTCTATACTGGTAACACGCGAACGATGATAAATGTTGCCAGCCACCTGGAAATTACCTACCTACGTGGAAAATGCACTTCAAGATGGCGCTTATGAAGATTTATATACAGTACGCTGGAATATTACAGTTATGGATGCCCTCGGCGATGACGACACACCTTTTAAATAACTGCTTTTCTAGGTGATGTGAAAAATATTTGAAAATTAGTTATTAATTTATTTGACGGAGAACGATGATAAGCGATGCTTGGGTATTACTAAAATTAAACTGTAGTGTATTGTAATAAATGCTAAATTTGAGAGTATTGTAAACCTAGCGATACCTATATGATCCTTTAAATAATGAGTGCTTGTTATTTTGATATTGTCCAAAATAATATTTTTGCGACTAATTCCCACCCAAATGGTGATTCAAATAACAATATAATGAGAAATTGTTTTTAAATTTTAAAATTGTTTTAATTGTTTAAAAAAAAAACAGTGTACACTGATAGGGCACTCAGTGTCATTTAATTTTCATCCCATACTGGTAATTTTATGCAAAATCTCTCTTTGTTAATAATATATTATACGACCATAACAATACTTGAATAAAATAATTGTGACACACACACACAGACTAAAACGACTACGGAACCCTAAAAATCTGTCTAGCGTCGTAAATATTAAATTTAATATACCAGGACAACATACAGTACTAAGATATTGCGGTGTAACCTGCTCTTTGTGAACGGTTATTTAAAAGAGCTGCTATAAACATGTTTGTGTAGCTGCTTTTTTAAATAACAATTCTTTTATAATAATATTCTTGATCTAATAACATTATTAAAAGGTTATCTTTGTAAACGCAATTGAATTATTAATTTGAAAATAGAAATATTACTTCATTTAAATTAATATTTTCCCATTTGATTGATAAAAAATAATTAGAAATTCCATTTTCAAAATTCATCCATACCTCCTTTTCATTTACCAATACCAATTACCTACTAATACCCATCAGTAATATTAGTTTTTTTTTATGGGTGAAAATGGAATGGTAACCCCGCCTGCGCTAACGGGATACGCTGGCGGGGTACCAGTGAAAGGTGATTGATGAGAATGTAAACAGGCCCGTTAGCCCATCATGATGAATTCCTTAGGAATTAACCATGATAGTTTCTAGGAGGTCGACCTGGTTGGGTATATTGCTAGCAATGGGATTCTCCGTCTCCATTACTAACAATCCCTTTCCTCCCAGTAATATTAGTTAACTAAGTGGAAAAAAATATATTAAAGCCACATGTGAAATAAGGTGAAATATCAACAATAATATCTTAATTTATATTATTACTATTTTTTGTTTTATTTATTTATTTATTTATATTTTTGCATATATTAAAATATGTCTACAGTGCGAACTTTATACCTGAAAAATGTATGTATTTTGTACTTATACAAGCAACAGATTTTTTTTAATGGATGATAATGCAACGGTAACTCCGCCTGCACTAACGGTATACGCTAACGGGCACCAGTGAGAGATGATAGATGAAAATGAAAAAGGTGGTCAGTTGGTCAGGAAACTTGGAATTAAGTACGATGTTTTCCAGAGGGGACCGCGAGGAGGTCGACCTGGTTCGGTATATTGCTAGCAATAAGGTCCTTAGTCTCTATTACTAACAATACCTTCCTCCCCACAAGCAACAGATTGAAATTATTACGTCTTTAGATAACTATAAATTTATGAAAAAAATTAAAAACGCCTCGACATAAACAAACCTATAAAAAAGCTGATGACCTTGAAACACTTGAATAATTCCTTATAAATTGTAGACATGAACTATCTCGATCACGTCAGTTTTAAAACAAAAAAAAGACGCATTATGATCGGTTCATTCGTTTAGGAGACACAATGCTACAGACAGACACACAGATGTAAATGTATGTTTTTTGTTATATATTTAATGTTATATATATTTATGTACGGACCCTCGGCATGTGCGTCAACTTGCACTTGACCGGTTTTTTTTTTTTTCAGTACAATAGCATTATTGTAGATTTTGCAGCAAATACAGAGTATATATATATGTATATATGTATATGCTTTATATTTGCTGTCTGCCTGCGGCAACCGATTAGTAGCTAATGGAATTACTATTGTTTCACAAACGAAATTCAAACCGACTCTGCAAATACGAGTTTAAAGGCAACCATTTTGTATGACCAATTTGTTTGATTGGCGCTTTATTATTCCTATATGTATATGACGTCCTGGTATCGACAAACGGGTGCACCTTTGTTTAATTTGTCATTAAAACTATCAAGCAAAAAGCAAATATCCAAGAAATTTCAGAAATTTCATTAAAAAATCAAAAACGGCAAATTATGTCGAGTCTCCCATAAAGTTGAACGCACCGTATTTATAAGTTCAGTCTTATGGTATGATATTAGTATGCTCGTATACGTGAACTATATACATATATGAAAATGTCAAGTACTTATTATTTTATAATTATTCTGAGATAATAAAAAAATTTTGGCTTTTTAGCTTCAAGATGTCAGGTATCACGTATCAACTTATATTTTTTTTTAAGTCGAATTATTGCTAGGAGCATTATTGTTTTTCGTATTAAATAAAAATTAGAAGCAATTAAGTGTAATAATTTGCCAAGTGTACCAGGGGATCATAACCGTATAAAAGTACTAGAATTAACTCATTAGCATTACCACTGAATAAATTTTGGAGAGCCCCCGAGAGTTACTGGCTACTAATGCTATGCACAGTGGTGGAGTTAATCTATTCTCTCCTTTTTATGTTCTCCGAATACAAAGTACGACGTTATTAAAATTTTAAACAATTTTAAACCAACTTTGACAAATAAATTTTGCTCCACAAAAAACACCGTCTTCAAAACATTTCTATTTAAAATAAAATTACTGGAACTTATAATGAAATTTCTATAAGACCGATTTAAATTGGTGAATTCGTCAGGATGGACCAACTGATCTGACTTCATCCTTACCCCACCGTCATCCCACACTATTGCCCTACAAATACCATTGTGTTTCACAAAAACAAACCGACTTTAATCGTGTCAAAACCAGTTATTTTGATTTAAAAACTAAATTACTGAACCATTTTTGGTAAAATGTCTCGGACATCAATTTGTAAGTATATCCTTTCAGATAAAAAAGAATTTTCCAAATCGGTTTATAAATAACGAAATTCCAATGTAAAACCGAATTGAGAATCTCTCGTTTTTTAAAGTCGGTTTATAAGGCACATTTTTTTTTTAAATCTAAAATTAAATTCTAGATAGATGTGAAATATAAAGGCGGCATCTGATTTTGACGTCTGAAGAGGAGCCGGTCTCGAGGAAAATTATTTGCCAGTTCACTTGCTAGCTCAATGGTGTTAATTTCAAGCGTAAGTCAACAATGAATGGATTCGATTTCGAAGTAAACACCGTACTCATAGTGAAGAAAATTTCAAAATTAAGTCGAAACAATTGTCGGAATC